TACTTCACCAAGGAGGATTGAAAGCTCGTTCAGTGTCCGGTCTCACAGAACCACGTGGCTGGGCGGGGGATAAGTTATCGTACCTGATCGTGACTGTGGCAAGCAGGGCGACATGGCAACCTACCTTGGTAAATGGATCGAGGCCCCAAACTGGCCCAAACCTTGCGGGGGATGGCAAATTTACCATATCTGCCGCTATCTTGGGCAAAAAAGGCATGGAGCAAGCGAGTGGCAGCGAAGATAATTCGCGTACCCCTGACGCCATAATCTAAGTTTCTTTTGAAGTTTTCAAGACGGGCCGCTGGAGCCATTAACGCGGACTACCAAATTAAATGATCGCCTACCCCGCTACTTCGGGGGGGGGGGCAAATGCATACTCCAAAATGTTTCCGGAACCGGGGAATGGACTACCCCTCTCTTATTATGTATTGTTCCTGAACTGAGCCATTTCCTGAAACGGGGGACCTGACTAATTCGACCTTTCACTCCACCGTCCTATTAGCCCAGTCGATGCATGTTTTTTCAGCCCCCCGAAACCTTTTCCATTTTATGTCACGGAGAGTATACACTTCTCTGAGCTCGTCATCGTATTCTTTAAAGCTTTAGGCCGAAAGAGATGTTATACTCAGCCATGACCCTCAGGGTATGACTCAGGGGGACAAACCTCCGACTACCACTGAACGACAGCAGCTGTAGGACAGGGGAAGCTCGCTATTGTGTGTGTTGTTGTGATCTTGATTCGTATGACCTGGCAGCTGTATCTTTTTCTCCTTAAGCCGAGCATCCGTACTTTTCTACTACCCCTACAAAGCCCCGAAACAGGGGTGCGCCTCACGGCGCGGGGTGCTTGACTCGCACCCTATGCCCCGGAGAATAGAATAGAATAGAATAGTCAGGTTCTTGTTATCGTACACTTTATGGCCTTAGCCTTTTGGTAATCTACACTTGTTATTCACTCCCCTTTAAACTTTACTCGATAAAGCATCGGGTGGGCATGGTGCCCGGGGGGCTTTGACAGGCCCCTATGCCTGGGAGAGAGAGAGAGAGAGAGAGAAAAAGGGGAGCTTCCCCTTGCCCATAGCCCTGGCGAAAGAAAGAGAGAGAAAGAATAAGATGGGTTCGTTCGATGCGTTGAGAGCTGAGAAGTGTTGCCCTCGTCCAAGCATTAATCGGAGAGTCCATGCTCAAGGGGACCATGGTCATCTCGAGATCGGGGTTTCCGGGCCCTAACTCCACTTCAGTCTGGAAGGGGTGTGGCGGCAGTTGCTCCCGGGTCGTACGAATGCCCTCACATACACCGTGAGAGAGAGTGGAGAATCAGACAATCGGAAAACTTTCTTGCGTGTAACGGTTCAAGCAATAGGAACGAGATTGCGGCCAATAATTCTTGCTTCTAAATACCAAGGCTGTTCACTGAATGCACGCTTTTCAAGTGTGCACCTGAGGAGGGGAAGTATGTGGTGGACATAGACAAGGACATCAAAATCGAGGACTGGTTGCAGGGATCGAAACCCGCTGGTCGCGATGGAATTACGCATGTTTGCCGCAGGATTGCAAAGCAAACACCCGGATTGCCCTCACAAGCGACAGCTATGTTTTGCACAAGATCCTTCCAAGCAAGGTGCAAACTCATGTCAGAGAGACCGCGAGCCTACTTTATCGGACTTTGCGTTCTTGCAGGTGGATCCTTTGGTGCAGCTGATGAAAGTGGAGAAGACGCCAGATAGCACCTACGAAATGATTGGTGGAGTGGACAAGCAGATCAAGGACCGAGGTGTTGCGGCTTGCGCTTCGAGGCATTCGGATTTCAATTGTCGGTGCATGTGGTCGCTTGGTCACCGGGAGAAGAACAGGAGATTAAGGAGGTCATCGAGCTCCCGATCAAGCATCCAGAAATCTTTGAGTCCTTAGGGATTTCGCAGCCAAAGGCGTGGAGATGGTTCTGCTCCTGATGGTCTGCGGTTTGTGCAGTGACAGGAGGCTCCACTCCTTCAATTTCTGATTGGCCTGCCAGGGCGTGCTGCTGTATGGCCCCCCTGGCACTGGCAAGACGCTGCTTGCGCGAGCTGTCGCCCATCATACCAACTGTTGCCACACACCTAGCCGTGGGGGTGGGTGGACACACACACACACACATACACACGTGTGTACACTTGAATCGGTGTAGGCTTCATCCGTGTCTCGGGCGGCGAGCTTGTGCAGAAGTACATTGGTGAAGGCTTAGAAGGGCCCAGAGGGCTTGATGCTTTAGCAGGCCAGCTGTCTGCTTGTACAGGTAGCCGAATGGTGCGTGAACTCTTTGTCATGGCACGTGAGCACGCGCCGACCATCATCTTCATGGACGAGGCCTTGCAGCGAGCGAAGACTCGAGATGGCTTTCGTAGCTGCCCACCCTGCACGCCAGGTAGACTCCATCGGATCCTCCCGCGTGGAGGGTGAATCAGGTGGTGATTCGGAAGTGCAGCGTACAATGCTCGAGCTTCTCAACCAGCTGGACGGCTTCGAGGCTGTGTTCGGTGTGGTATCTTTTTCCAAATTTCTGTCTATCTCTGCGCTTTGGTCTTTCTTTGTGCGTCCTGTTGAAGGCCGGTCTCTGCGAAGCTGTCTTTGTGGCGGTGGTTTTCCTCCGATGGTAGTTTTAGTTCAGATATGCTTGCAGCTTCCCCTTCCTATGATGAGCCTTCGCTCTCGTGCAGTGCTCCTCCTCCGCGTGCAGAAGCACTAGCTGTCGTTCGGATCATGACAGACTCCAGTTGCTTCGTCCACCCCACTGGTGTGGTTTGGCGAGAGTGCACCCTGCAAATCGTTTGGCGCAACCAACCTGCTCCCGCAAAAACAACGACGGGCATGCAGACCACGACTTCGTGCGAGCCGCTGTTGCCAAGGCGTGTTGAAAACTTGCGTCACGAGGAACATGACCCCGTTTCGCAGCGTTGGCATTTTTATATAGCCGCGGCGAATTCAGCCTCCGAAAACGGCGACTGTCACGAGGATCGCACGCCCAACAGGTTGCTGTGACAGAGGAAATGGACTGGGGGAATACTACCGGGTGGGTACAGGGATCATCCTCTGTTTATTTGCAGACCTTTCTTTTCCTATTTTGGTAGGACTACTGTAGGACTGATCCCCCCACACGTTTGTTTTTTTTGCTAGTTTTTGCCACCGCGACTCTCTTTAAACTTTAGGGCCTTCTTTGAGGCTTTTGCACAAGTTTGCCAAGCTAGCGGCTGCATCATTATTGGCTTGGACTAGTTTATGAACAGTTCAATCAGTATGTCCAGGCCTGGGGTTTTGTCGCCCAGATAACAGCACCATCACCCTATCTGCATGTTTACAGATCCCAGGTAGATCGACAAGGTAGTTTACACAACCCCGGTTTGAAATGTTTTGAATTTCTTTGACTATTGACTATTGTGTGCTTTTCCCAGCCTTTCATGTCGGCTTGCCATGCAAGCAGATGCTGTATCGCTTAGCAGAGCATGGTTCAAACAATTTGATTTGATTTCGTGGCAGACAATCGGTGCGTACCTCTTCGGAACGGCACTGCTGTTGGGTTGGACAGGTCCGGAGCTTCGTAAGGACAGCAGCGTGAAGCAAAACGTGGCGATCGTTTTGATGTGCTCGGCATGTTCGGATGCCATTGAGAGGCATTGCTGTGTGAGGCGAGTGCACCTCCGAGTTTCGCGGAAATATTCGGGCTATCGGTGCCCACAGTACTGAATGGTACGGGTACTCGTAGAGGGCTCTGGCAGATCCTCCATGGCCACGGCCATCGGCGTTTCGGCAAAGGCAATGTAAATCACCGGCCGCCCGCACGAGCAGGAGCAAAGCAGCTTGCAAGCAGCTGCAAGCACCTCAAACTACACGCATGTGGGGGGAGACAGTACAAGACGAAGACGGCAAAAACTATCAGACTATGACGAGGTCCCTAGGTGTAGGCAGACAAGAGTCAGCCCTGTTGCTGCTGTCTTGTTAGAACAAGAAGAGCAGCACATAAGATGCAGGCAACCACCAACATCAAGGTCATCATGGCTGCTTGGTAGCCTCTTGCGGGTTTACGTGGCGGCAAGAGTAGTCCAGAGCATGGTCGCTTCCTCTTCTTAGGGCACGGCTAGGACGTACTGAGCTCCAAGATTAACAAAAGAATTTGCGAAGACTGACTTTGTTTTCAAGTTCGCCTAGGCCACGAACAGAATCGACATCCTGGATGATGCTCTGCTCCGACCTGGTCGAATTGACCGTAAGGCGACGTGTCAGACAGAAGCAGTAAAGGTGATGTACACGTTCCTTCCCACCGCATGTGTCGACAGGTGGAGTTCCCGAACCCCAACGAAGAAGCACGCGTGCATCCCGGGAGGTCTTGTCGATCTAGAACATAGACGCCATGGAAATCACAGCAACGCATGCTTCGCAAATGACCTTGCCGTGAATCCTGAGGCCAAGAGATTTTGAAGATTCACTCCAGAAAGATGAATCTCATGCGACTTGCAATCATTCGACTCAAAACATGTATGAATCGCTGTGGGGTCAACGCAAGGGTTCGGACCTTCTGTCGCCTGCTCAGGCGTGGCATTGATCTGAAGAAGATCGCAACTGGCATGAACGGAGCCAGTGGGGCCGAGAGCAAGGCTGTCTGTACCGAGGCTGGGGCTTGTCCGGGCTGGTCTGTAAAATCTTGAGACATGCTTCTTCTGGCGGCTTGGGACTTGGTTCCTGACGTGAGAAGCAGGCTGGAATGTTTGCCCTGCGCGAGCGGCGGCAGCACGTGACACAAGAGGACTTTGAGATGGCTGTCTCGAAGGTGATGAAGAGTCTTGGAGCACGTGGGAGTTTTTTCGATGCAGCAGCCTTCATTTCAAACGGCCTTTCAAGGAAAGATTCGGACAAGAATATGAGTCTGATGCAGTTGATGAGGTGAGAGCCGTCTCCTTATGTACTTGCTCAGCGTCCGCATGCCTGCACGCAAATTGCGCATGCATGTGTACACATGTACACATCCGGATGAGCAGTCAGGTAGAGCTTGCCACAGCGCAGATCCCCATCGTCCGCTGGCTGATTCCAATTCGAGGTTTGTCTGAGCCGGTGCTTGCATGGTCTCACAACCTACATAGAGAGAACAGGCGTCCACATTAGATGCTCAGTGACACCACAATCGTCATATTAGAGCGGTAGGAGTGTATGTGAGACTGTCACTGCTGGCAGTACAGCACTGGTCGGATGAACTCCACAGCTTTCTGACCATGTGCGCAGCCAGAAAACGCGTGCTTGGTTTGTGTTCGCATGTTACCTGCATGAAGCCCCATTAGGCTGCTCATGCGGCAGACCTCTTTCGACACGAATGGCGTAGTCCTCTAAGCATCTTCGTGTGTTGTGTCGCCGGCAGTGCATTTCTCCTTGCTCGTTCAGGCTGAAGCAACAGATCGTGAACCAGCTGGTCAGTTGCGGCCAGCATCGAGGGATCGGCTCCGTCTGTGAAAAGGCCGTCAGAAAGATGGGCTGTTGATCCAATGTTGAGAAGATTTGTCAGTTGTCACTCCTCAGCTTCTTTACAAAACACAGACACAACCATCAAACGAAAGATTGATTTCGGCTGCCACGGTTAGCGTGAGGCCCCATAATCACAGAGCGCTGTGCAGACCCGACAGGGATGCGTGCTTTCGCAAGTTTTGTCGGTGGCCAACGCTGTTGAGTCCAAGACCACGGCCACTACCAATAGCACTGCGACCAACACCACCGCCAGCACCACGACGACGACTGCTCCTCCTGCGGCTTCCTGCGGCTTCCTGCTGGTAGCTGCAAGAAGGCTTGGACCGTCAGACCTCGATCCCAAGCTTGTCAGCTGGATCGGTATCCGGTTCGCTGAAACGCGAGTGCTAACGCAACAGAATTGCTGCAGCCCCAGGCCGGTGCCACTGTAGGGCCGCTGCTTGCAAAATGAGATTGCATTGCCTCGCAGTGCTCGGCTCAAGCGATGGACCGAGGCCATCGTGCCGAACACGTGTGAGAAGAGGTCTCAGCAGAGCAATTCAAGGCAGAATCGAGGGCATGGCACCGGCAACTTGCTTATGCTTTACGACCTCTTCATGGGCGATACCTTACTGCCTGCGCACGAGTACCGTCGCAGCCGCAGCAAGTACGTATCTATCTCGCACTTCGTAGGCTTGGCATTGCGTTTCTGACATGTCTGCCGCTTCTCTCTCGCGGTCACGTTCCCCGCTAGTCCCTCAGAAATCTTGGCAAGAAGCCGGAACTTCCACATCGTCCATCTTCCCTAGCAAAAGTACAGGGGTCCTCAGTTCTTGCGGTTTTCGTGACACTCGTCGGGATTGAGGTCTGGCAAACGTAGCCGGGAGGCTGAGGGCAAGCCGACGAAGCTGGTGCCCAAAGCGTTCCTTGCGTTTTGCCGGCATGCTTTGTAAGACTTAAGGTCGCACGGGAGGGAACTTGACGATCGCCAAGGCCAACGGTGTGGACTCCCGAACAATTACGCATTTCGCAGCTGATCTTGTCGTTTTCCCTTGCTGTTTTGAAGACACCTGGAACCGTCAGGGAACCGCAGCGATCGCAGGGGGAAGCGGCGGCGAGGAGACAGGCGGAGACGAGGACGAAGCAGAGGTCTCTTGGGAGCAGAGTTCGCTGTCCCTTAATAATTCATGGGCTGACGACTAGGAGAAAGAAGAAGTTCAAGTCTTGGGGCTTGAGGGGCCTTTGCCAAAATTGTGCCGCATGAGCTCTAGCACGATGCTGCTCCCAACCCCCTGAGATCTTGCTTGTGAAAACTTGTCAAGGGCAGGCCGCGCGTATCCAGAAACCCCGCTGCCGTACAGGACATGAGGAGCAAGGCAAGCAACTCGTGCAAGCATGCAGTGGACAAGAACTGTAAACATGTGATGTGACCACTGGAAACCCAAACCTATCACGAGACCCATACTTTCATGTCCTGGACCGGGTGTGGATCGAAAGGCTCTTGAGAGTAATTGGCCAACCTTACGCAGCCCACAGCCAATGCGAGTGCGCAACGAAAAAAATGTGGCGGTCGAAGCCCACTCAGTTTGCTTTGCGTTTAGGAGCACGAACAAACTTCTTCGCCCAAGCGCTTAGGCGCTTTCTCCAGAACCCTTGTGGTACCAACTCCTGTGTCGAATGTCGAGGCTGAAAATCCCAATTGCATCCTACGTTTGTGCTTGTGGGCAGGCAGCAGATCTCCCCCGTACTCCCATGTCGCCCTGCGCCCTTCAAACCTGCGATTCCAAACCGAAAGTGCTCTGAGGGCGGGATCATTGTATAATCTTCGGTTCAACGGATCGCGATCTGTTAATCGGCATTGCCACACTGTTGCCATGGGTGTGCAGAGCCTATTTCTCATGCGGCATCCTTTGTTCAGCTCAGTTTTTTTGGCATTCTAGAATTTTTGATTTTGATCAGTCGCACAGTCTTGAGGTTCGCTACGGCATCAACAGTGACCTTTGTAATCCGGTTGATCTGGCACAAAAATCTGCAGCAGACACGGGCAGATAGCGCAGGCCGTGGCCGACGCCGTCATCACAAGGGCCATCGGCGTCGGCGTGGTCGTCGACGCAGCCGCGAGCGTCGAGGCACAAAGCTGAGGTAGATGCACGCTGTATTTGTTGGCCTGGCCTTTATGCAGGTAGACGACGTCGCGATGCCCACAAAAGCCGCAGGAGGCGGCGAACTGCCATGCCAAGTTCTGAGAACGGATAAACGCTACAAGCATCACAACTGCCAATACTTGTCTGCATCGGATGAGGTCTGCAGATGTCGATTCCGATGACGAGGAATCCAAGGAGGCCAGAATAAGCTCGCCAAACGACTGGCACGAACAGCCCGCAGATAGCAGCCGGGCACAGCAGCCATCGCCGCCGCCACCTCCACCTATGCCTCCCCTACTTTCGCCTCCACCTCGTCATCATTATCTTCGTGATCTTCTTGGACCCCCAGTAGTTCCACACGTGATGCCCGCCGTAAGCACTGAAAGGCTCATCCAATGCTGTGATCATGGAGAGGCCGAGACCGAAGAGGAGGAAGAGGAGGAGGGTAGTGAGAACGAGAAGGATTCCCAGGAGCCGCAGAGAGCGACTGAGCGATCCTGAGCGATCCTGAGCGATCCTGAGCGCCCCGGCCGCACAGGAAGCTTCTGCGGAGTCGGAGGAGACGAAGGAATCGGCCGAGGAGGCCAGGCCCATCTCAAGCATGGCCGCCGCTCCTGAAGGGAGCAGAATCACATAGGACAGTTCGACCCTGTCCTATATGGCAAGCTAGAAGCAAATCACTGGCTCAGAAGTGCTGATTCATAGTATCCTCAATTTCAAATTTCTCGGAGTGAAATATCGTGCTGGCCTGAGATATTCTTCCTCGAACCGCCGTCATTCCTTGCCAGCGACGGGGAACCAAGCAACCTCTTCTCTCCTCGACTTTAGCTGGCTCTTCCAGTCTGTCTTGCTCTAAACCGCAGGAGGCTGCAGATGCTGAGGCAGCGAAGGCAGTCGAAGAAGCAGAGGCAGAAGTTCAGGCGGATCCGCAGACCTTGGGCCTTTTGGAACTGCAAATGCACTTAGTTAAACATCATTCGCTGGAGTACATAAAGCACTATGAAGCGTTCGCATGCCATGCTTCACGAGAATAAGAATGGGCATTCTTATTGTTATTATTATTGCTATCAGCATTGGTTTTATCGTTATTACTAGTCTCATGTTGCAGTTACGATTGTTATTATTGTTATTATTCGTATGCTATCGTTATCGTCATCTCGAGCATCAGTATTCTGTTGTTTGTGATATTCTTGTTAGTAGGTAGATAGAGAAATATATCAGGCTGCTCAGAGCCTGGCAGCCGAAGCTGAGACGAAGCTTCGCGCTGCTGAAGCACTTGTGGCCGCCTCACTTTTCTTGGTATTGTAGATAAGAAGTACAGTCGAGCAGTGCAGTGGCCTTGCTCAGAAACGTAAGCGAATTCATGGCACTTGTGTCGGTTGTTCTCATGGCCGTGTAGTGCATGTGTGTGCACCCAAGGACAAGCGAGTGTAGGGTTGTTTCCCGTTCGAGCTGCTGTGCAATAAGTGGCGTTTCTAAGCACGCTTGTCAGCCTGTACGCACCGCACAAGGTCGACCAGATCATCAACAAGCAGGTGTGTGACCGTTCTCGGAAGTGCTCAAAAAATTGCAGCTGGACGACATGAGCCTGTCCGGATTTGCGTCGTCTAGCGCTTTTTTCTGATATTTTCGGATGAAGTTTGGGCGTTTGTTCAGGTGTTGGAGGCTGGGCTACAGGCACGTCTGGACCTTGACGAGCAGCTACTTGGCGCAATCCTTTGCGGTGGCTGCTGCACAACGCTTGAGACGAGACTAATGACCAAGTCATGCGAGAGGATTGCGAAGTCAGTGTGCTGGTAGCCAGCATTCGCAAGATCTCCGAACGGTGGAGGATTCAAAAACATGAAACTGCTGGGCCACTTGCCCCCACTTTTGGCTGAGCACGTGTTCTGCTGGAATTATCGCCCTCAACGTCAGAGACGCACCCTGCAGAAAAAAGCCTGCGAAAGGATTTTGCGCAAACCGCCTTCAACAGTATCACACTGGACACACTGTCGCCTCAGATTCAGAGGATGCGTTAGCTTGTAAACAAGCGTGCCTGATACCGCATGAGGGGACAAGTCATCAAAAAACTCCGTGATTTGTCCCCCGATGCTTTCACACCGCTTCTATCGGGAGATTGACGCCGAGAGAGACGCTATCCGCTATGTGACACGTTGACTGCGCAGTCGAATTTCGATCTCGCCTCCCAGGCTGAAAACCGTAAAAGAAGATTTCGAACTCGCTCGGCAAGAGGCTTTGCAGAAAGCTAGAGAAGATCTGGAGGCGCACGGAGTCGCTGCGGCACGTTGCGGCTAGTGTGTGCGTCAACTCAATGTCACATGCGTGTAGAAGCCTGGATTCATCTGGGACGTGTCCTGCAGAACTCTGCCCTTGCATATAACATAGTATTCGCCGAAGCAGCAATCAGTAACAGGATAGGTGGCGACAATCATGTAGCAGAGTAGTCGTCGTCGTTGTCGCCGAAGTGCCATTGGTAGAGGCGGCAGGAGTGGCAGTGGTAGTTGTAGTAGTGGTAATGGTGGTAGTCGTCGCAATAGCATAGTCGTAGTCCTAGTAGTAGTAGTAGTAGTAGTAGTAGTAGTAGTAGTAGTAGCAGCAGCAGCAGCAGCAGCAGCAGCAGGAGTAGTAGTATTCGTCGTCGTGCAGTAGCAGCAGTAGCAGCAGTAGCAGCAGTAGCAGTAGCAGTAGCAGTAGCAGTAGCAGTGGCAGCGGCAGTAGCAGTAGCAGTAGCAGTAGCAGTAGCAGTAGCAGTAGCAGTAGCAGTAGCAGT